GCCTCCCAAAGTGCTGGGATGACTGGCGTGAGCCACCGTGCCCAGCCTAAATCTCTTTTTTTTTTTTTTATTAAGTTACCCAGTCCTGGGTATTTGTTCATAGCAGCATCAAAATGGTCTAATACACTAGGAAAAGAAGGGAACTTTCTCAACATGATCAAGAGCATCTGTGATTAAATACCTGCAGCAATCATCAGACTTAATGGTGAAAGACCAAATGCTTCCTCCCTAAGATCACAAACAAGGGAAGGATGTCCATTCTCACACTTCTCTACTGTACACTGCATTGGAAGTTCCAGCCAATGCAATAAAGCACAAAAAAAAAATAGTCAAAAGAATCCAGATTAGAAATAGAAATAAAACTATACTCATTCCCAGGAGACATAATATTTATGTAAAAAATCTTGGCTGGGCACGGTGGCTCATGTCTGTAATCCCAGCACTGTGGGAGGCTAAGGCGGGCAGATCACCTGAGGTCAGGTGTTCAAGACCAGACTGGCCAACATGGCGAAACCCCTCCTCTACTAAAAATACAAAAATTAGCAGGGCATCGTGGTGCATGCCTGTAATTCCAGATACTCAGGAGGCTGAGGCGGGAGAATTGCTTGAACCTGGGAGGCACAGATTGCAGTGAGCTGAGATGTGTTGCACTCCAGCCTGGTCCACAGAGAGCAAGATTCCATCTCAAAAAAAAAAAAAAAAAAAGGAAAGAAAAAAAGAAAGAAAGAAAATCTTATGGAATCTATAAAAACTGGGACTAAAACAAATGGATTTACCAAATTCCCATGATAGAATGTCAATATGTTAAAATCAATCATATTTCTACATACTGACAATGAACATTTGGAAATTAACATGCTTAAGTACACCATTTACCACAGCATCAAAAAAATGAAGTACCAGGTATAAATATAATAAAAGCTGTGCAACATCTATACACTGGAAACTATAAAACAGTTGAGAGAGTTTAAAAATCTTAATAAATGCATATATTAGAATCGCAAACAAAATTCTGGCAGGCTATTTACAGAAATAGAAAAACTAATTCTAAAATTCATATGAAAATATTAAATACCTAAAATATCAAAATACTCAAAACATAAAGTTGAAAACTATGTTTGTGAGAAAACCAGCTACTTCCAGACAGGTGTACCATTATTATATAATATCATTTTAATAAAGAGGTAGCCATCACTTTCACCTGTATGTTTTCTCATTGTAAAATATTAAAATATTGCATATGTCCCCTTGGACAATTGCCTCATCTTACTCCCTCTTCCCTCTTTCCCTGAGGTGATCACAGTGGGCTTCATAACCTACTTTACAAGTCTTTTTTGTACATCTATGCATGTATTTATGTAGCCACAGAAAATTAGAGTATTAGATATGCTGTAATAATATGAAAGAATATATGGCAATGAGAAAAGCTTAAAATCAGGGTTATTGTTACCTAGAGGTAGGGCAGAGATGGGGGTCAGGGTGAGCATGTGAGACAGTGGAAGGAACAAGGAGTACATGTTAAATCTCTTCCCTTTTAACTTTGGAAAGATTTTTAAAATATTATATTACTCCTGTTAAGTGTTTGGTTGAATGATCATAAGACATTGTAGGCAGAAATGTAAATTGGCAGAGTTTAGTCTAGGCAGCTCCAAATCTTTTGGTGGTGTTTTATTTCCTATCCTAGGTGGCAGAAAACAGGTATGCATCATATTGTTTTGTAATGTTTTTAAGAAAACAGAAGTCAAAATGAACATATCATCAGCAACTTGATTTTTTTACTCTACAATGTGAGATCTCTTTCTGAACTGAATCGTGTCCACCCAAAAATTCATTTGTTGAAGCCCTAGCCCTCAATATGATAATATTTGGAGATGGGGCCTTTGGGAGATCATCGGAGTTGGATAAAGTCATGAGGGTAGGGCCCTCATGATGCTATTAGTGTCTTTATAAGAAGGAAAGTTTTCTCTCTCTCAACAACCCTTTCCCTATACCTATACCCCTATCTCTAGTGTAAGGACACAGTGAGAAAGCAAGCCAGAAAAGGAACGCTTACCAGAAACCAAACAGGCTGGAACCTAGTTCTTGGACTTCTTAACTTCCAGAACTGTGAGAAATACATTTCTACTGTTTAAGCCACTGAATCTAAGGTATTTTGTTAAAGCAGCCCAAGTAAATTAATTCTAACAGTAAGCCATGTTACTATATGCAAATGTTTCTGTCCTTTTTTCTAATGCCACAGGATATCTAATAATATAACTAGAAAACAGTTTATTTAGCCATTGATGGGTATTTCGGGAGCTTACATTTTTATATTCTACAAACAACAATGCTATAGCCTTCTTGTGCTGTATGAGCCTTCTTGTGAAGGCATTTTGTCTCAGGATAGAAATGCTGGGCATACAATGTGCATTTTTAATTTGTACTTAATAAATAATATCCAAATGTCTCTCAACCGGCTGTTTATGTTCCCATCAACAGCAAAAGAACCGATTTTTCTATGCCCTGAATAATTCTGCATATTGTTGGTCTTTGTTAATTTTGCTACTTGAAAAAGGTGAAAATATCATCTATTTTATTACTAACAATTCCTTGATTAATATTATTGGGCACCTTTTCATATGTTTATATCCCATTAATATTTTCTTTCCCATAAATTGCCTATTTGTATCCTTTACTGATTTTTAAAATGTGAGCTGTCTTTTTCTTATTGATATTTTCTAGTTCATAAACACTCTGGATAATCTTTTGTTTGCTACATATCCTGCAAATAATTTTTCTCAGTTCCAAAGGACATACTGTCTTTTAATTCTGATCGTAGTATCTTCAGTTGTATAACCGGTATACATCTTCACTTGTCATATGTTTCAATACTTAGCTTTATTTTTTATCTTAATAAATTTTTTGCTGCCTCATAGTCATAAGAATACTCTCCCATATTTTTTCCTAATATTTTTATACTACACTTGTTTACTTTTGGGTTTGGGCATTTTCTTAGTGATATGACATTGGAATTTAATGTTCTTGCACTAGGTGGCCAACTGTCCCAACACAATTTATTTAATACACCATTATTTTTCCCCACAATGATTTGAGATGACACTGTTGTCACAGACCAAATTCCCTCATGCACTGAGTCAGCTTCTAGACTTGCAGTTCTTACTAATCTTTTATATCAACCTGTTTTAATTCCTATAGTATTATATAAAAGTATCATGCTATCCATTAAGTACGTCCAACTCTTTCATCTGTTTTACAACTGTCTTTACTATTCTTTTACATTTGCTCCTCCATATAAATTTGAGAATTTGCTTGGTAAATGCCATGAGGAGTGGGGGCAACGGGATTATAGTAGACTTGTAGGTGAACTTCCAAATGCTTTTTACACTGTTTATGCTATTTTTCTTGCCAACCAAACAACTACATCTTCTCCTCCCTACTGGGTACATGTCTTCTAAATTGTTTAGTTCATGTTAATTAGGTTCTACACACAATAGAAAATATTGGGTGAAAGAACACAGTCATGTTTAAATGCACATTACAGAGAATATAAATCCAGAGACAATCTCTTTGCACTTACTACTCCCTTAAAAACGTATGGATAGAAGGACTCCACATGTACCTACTAAACAAATACTTAGTAAATTTTGGATTGATAATCTCATACCAGTTAAACAAAATAGCATGGGTTTAACATAAATCATGAGAGAAGCATTTTTTAAATAAATCATGAGGGAAGATTTTTTTAAATCACTTTTCTCACTTTCAGAGTTACCAGGAAACTTACTGAAATCAATCCAACAGATATTAGAAAGGATCTCAATAAATCAGATTTGCTACCCCTTACCACTGCTTGATCAAAAACACATATTAAAAATTAATATTTGACAATTTTTTCATAATTGACTCTCTAGTGCCATAATTAAACTGGGATATATATAATTAAAATTTTAAATCTAGCTGGGTAAAGGATTTAAGATTTTTTTTAACTATATATTTTCTGTGACTTCAAAACACAGTAGAATCAAACAAAGTGATTCCTACAGCACTGTCACCACAACTTTGAACACAGAACATTAATGTAACCTCCATAACCAGGTATGCTGAGCATAGACTAAGTATAACATGGTATTAAAGCATAAGTTTTAATATTGTTAGGCAAGCTAACAGTACGGTGGCTATGTTTTGCAAACACAGAATTACTTACAAAACTATTTAAGGGTAAACTATGGTGTCGGGGATTTGCTTTAAAATACTATAGGGGCCAGACACAGTGGCTCATGCCTATAATCCCAGCTCTCTGGGAGGCCAAGGCAGGAGGATTGCTTGAATCAAGGAGTTTGAGATGAGCCTGGGCAGCATAGCAAGACCCCATCTCTAAAAAAAAATAAAATATCCAGGAATGGTGGTACAAGCATGTAGTCCCAGCTACTCAGGAGGTTAAGGCAGGAAGATCTCTTGAGCAGAGGAGGTCAAGGCTGCAGTGAGCCATGACTGTACCACTGCACTCCAGCCTGGGTGACAGAGTGAGACCTTATCTCAAAAAAAAATAATAAAATAAAATAAAAATAAACAAAAACAAAAACAAAAAACCCTATAGGAAAAAACCTGAGATGCATGAGACAGATAAGAACAAAACACTGGTAATTACTGGAGCTGGATCACAGGTTCATAAGGGCTATTTACTATATTCCATGTACTTTTATGCTAAGAACTTCTCAAATTTAAAAATTACTTTAGACTCTAGACTACAATGTGTAACTTTTTTTTTAAGTTTCAAAATAAAATGAGCCCAGTTGAACACTGATCCCCTTTCTGCTTTAATCCATAATATTCTTTTCCATCCAGAACTTTATCAGCTGTACAAAATGTTCCATGATCACAGAACAAAGTTTATCTTCTTCTTCAAAGGCATGATACCTGGTATGTAACCAACAGCATCAGCCTTCTGTGGATAAAAATGCACTAAAGACAGGGAAAGTTGGGAAGAACAAAGTGGTTACCAGGGAGGAATTCTGCCAGCCGAGAGCTTGCCCTTCTGCCCTTCACATAAGAGTCTGTTGGCAACTGAGACTGGGTTCTTGATTCCTATAAAAAAAAAAAAATTGGCAAAAAAGATGTCAGAAATGTCTTTCAGTTTCCCACTCAGTTTTGCAGTTGTTTCAATAAAACAACTTGAATATATCTTGGAAATTCTTTTTTGATATATCAAGTAACACTAATGAAAACCCTTAATAACCATGAGCAATAAGAGTTAAATCAAAAAATAAATGAAAACTTGGAAGCAAGAAAAGAACAAATATAAAATACATATTCTCATGTTTTGTCATGTGCTACAGAAGCAAAGGCTGAACTGAAATACTATATATTTAAATTAAATTAAATCTTTTTTAATAGATTTCAGAATAGAGTGTTTAAAATGAACTGAAAATGTGATACTATCTTACTATCAAAACTATATACATGCTCCAGGCATTTAGTGACCACAAAACCATAAACTCCCTTTAAAGAATAAACATCATTATAAACAGCTTCAAGTTGACCTTGGAGATAAAAATTAATGGGGGAAAAATAAGCCAAAACTTTTAAATGTCACCTACAAGAGAGATAGAACGGGGAAATGTCCTTCAAATTGGGTAAGGGTGGGAGAGAAGGCCAACTGTATAAAAGATTGTAACCTAAAATGTGGTTCAGATTCTTTCCAAGAGGCCAACCAGTATGTACAAGTGAGGTGACGGTGCTTATCCAGGAGAATTGACAGGACAGTTTGAGTGTCATAAACACTGTCAAGATGACAATGACAAAGACAATGACAGTGATGACAACAATGATGATGGTGGTGGAAGGCAATGAAAGTAACTATTTCCTAATATGCTGCAGGCCTAGTGCCAAACTCTTTTTTTTTTTTTTTTTTTTTTTTTTTTTTTTTTTTTGAGACGGAGTCTCGCTCTGTCGCCCAGGCTGGAGTGTAGTGGCCGGATCTCAGCTCACTGCAAGCTCTGCCTCCCGGGTTCACACCATTCTCCTGCCTCAGCCTCCTGAGTAGCTGGGACTACAGGCGCCCGCCACCTCGCCCAGCTAGTTTTTTTGTATTTTTTTAGTAGAGACGGGGTTTCACCGTGTTAGCCAGGATGGTCGCGATCTCCTGACCTCGTGATCCACCCGTCTCGGCCTCCCAAAGTGCTGGGATTACAGGCTTGAGCCACCGCGCCCGGCCTCCAAACTCTTAAATGTATCGGATGAGTTCGCTGATCCTTCAATTCTGTCATATAACCAACACTTATTAATCCTATCTGATTAATGAGAAAACATTTATAAAGAGAGTTAAGTTGCCTGCCCATGATCACAGCGCTGAATTTTAACACAGAGGCAGCTAATATCGAAGACTATACCCTTCATCATTAATCTATGCCTTCCTTTCAGGACATTATTAATACAAACAAATCATCAGTGGGATATATAAAGAGACTATAAAAATTTAAATTAAGGCCAACAGATTGATTCTAAGCAAAACCAACTGTAGAAATGTAGTTCAATACCAAATCTTCCACAAAAAAAGTATGAAATACAAAACAAGATAAAGAAAAGCCCAAATCAGGTCTCCTACTTCTGAAAACAATATAATTCTGGATGTGATGATTCAATATTGTAAAGACATTAAACTTTTCCAAGTTAACTTATAAATCCAAATCTTTAATCCAACTTATAAATCCAATTTGTAACTTTATTAATATTATTTATAAATTAACAATTTATAAGTTATAAATTGGATTTATACATTATAACATACATTTATAAGTTTATATAACTTATATATGTATACATTTATAAGTTTATGTGTATATGTATATATGTATACATTTATATGTATATATGTATATACATTTACATATATAATATATATGTATACATTATATAACATACATTTATAAGTTTATATAACTTATATATGTATAAGTTATAACTTATAAATCCAATTTATAACTTATAAATCCAATTCTCCATCAAACCACAAAAGGATTTCCACGATGCATGAGAAGCTGACTCTTAATCAGGAAAAGAAAACTTTGAAAAAGAAAAATGAAGAGGTATTTACCCTGCAAGATATCTTTATTTGAAGCTATTCTAATTAAAAAAGAGTGGTTTGAGTACAAAATAAACAAATATGTCAATGGAATAGAATAAAGCTAAAGTTCAGAAACAGACACTTGTGAATTTAGGTATTTAATATTTCAAATCAGTAGGAAAAGGGTTAACTACATATAAGAGGGAGAAAGAACACAAAGGTAAAAGCCTAGGAGTCAGACTACTTTGTAACTGTTCCAGTTAATCAGTTTATCGCTTCTCAGCTACAAATTCACCCTTTGTTGCCTGATGTGTGAAAATGGATATGGGCCCTCTAAGTATGTTTCCTTTGCCAGCTAGCACAATGGGTAAGTTTTGTCAGTAGAGGACACTAAAGAAATACTGTAGGAAGAAAGGGTATCTTGCTCACCAGGCTTCACTTTGGCCAATGTGGTACTCTCCTGTGCTAAGTGCCCACAGGGAGCAGCTTTCTCCAGCATTTGGACACCACGTTTTCTCCGGCTCCTGATTGGTGCCACAGCAGCATAGCTGAGAGCTCCAGAAAGAATGAGACCATACTCCAGTTCAGGATGTTGATCCCCATACCCAATGCTCAGCCCCACAGGCACACATAGCAAGTGTTCCACAGGGTACCTGTGCAGTGAGCCAAAGGCCAATCTTTATCCTGCCCAGGGAGGTTTAATTCTCACAGCATCTTGACCTCTGTGTGCCCACCTACCAGCCTAAGCTTGCCTCTGCCTCACAGGATTGATCCTACTCACACATTAACTATAGACTAGCTCTGGCCTGGGTAATTCAGCAACTTCTCTGCCATACAGTGGATGATAGCCACACCTTCTTCAATGAGGTCTAAACCTACTTCCAAATGTGTTCTCTTTGGGTATTCTCCCTCTGCCCTAGGATACATTTTTGAGTTCTCTTCCCATGTTTACAGAGTTACTCTCCAATCACTGCTTAATAACTCTTTATATTAAACTTCTATTTAAACTATGGTATGGTTTCTGTCTTCTAGTTTTACCCGGAATAATACAATGTCCTTGGACAAACTACTGAATCTCTCTTGTGTCTCAGTTTCCTCATCTGCAAAGCACAGACCTCATAAGAGCATTGTGAGAATTAAATGATTTAAAAGCATAGACCTCATAATGGTATTACATAGGATAAAAGCATAGGCCTCATAAGGGTATTGTGAGAACTAAATGATTTAAAATATGTAAACCACTGGGCCAGACACGGTGGTTCACGCCTGTAATCCCAGCACTTTGGGAAGCTAAGGCAGGCGGACCACCCGAGGTCAGGATGTCAAGACCAGCTTAGCCGGCATGGTGAAACCCGTCTCTACCAAAAATATAAAAATTAGCCAGGCATAGTGGCACACGCCTGTTATCCCAGTTACTCAGAAGGCTGAGGCAGGAGAATCACTTGAACCCAGGAGGCGGAGGTTGCAGTGAGCTAAGATCGCACCACTGCACTCCAACCTCGGCCAACAGGGCAAGATTCCGTCTCAAAAATAAATAAATAAATAAATAAATAAATAAATAAAATATGTAAACCACTGTAGAACAATGCCTAGGGTATTACAGTCATTTAATAAACTGTACTTATTCAATTAACTATGTAGGAACAATTCTCAGTCATTTCAGGAAAAAAAAATGCATTCAAGAGGTAAAGGAAAAATAAACTATACATGTGTTAGAAGAAAATACAAGTAAATTACGCTTATAAATTATAAGAGACTTTAAGAAATACAAAATACAAAAGCCACAAAAGAGAAAGCAGTAAGTTGGACAAAGAAAAATTTTTAATTGCAATATGATTAAGGATATTATAAACAGAGTTAAAAGGTAAGCCACACAACAGGTATGAACAGGTAGTACCCAGAGAAATCCTAATGGCCTTCAAACACATGAAATTGTATTAAATACCAATAAAACTTCATAGTAAAAAAAGTAAAAGTAAAACTAATTGAACCACCCTTTCTTAACTATCACAAAAAAGAAATGATATAAAACATCAGAACAAATAAATAACCAAATTGACCTAAGTGACACATATAGAGCACTGTACTCAACAACTCCAGAATACATATTGTTTTGAAGTTCACATGGAAATTTACCAAAACACACCATAATCTGAGCCATATAGCAAGTCTCTAAAATCTTCAAGGGATTGGTATCATACATAGTACATTCTCTGGCCACAGTGGAATTAAACTAGAAATCAATAAAGAAAGCTAACTAAAATGTCTTTAGGCAAACAAATTTGACAACTCATATGAAACAGATAAATTCCTAGAAAAATGCACATGAAAAAGAAAATACAATCATATAAATGCTAAAAATATTGAATCCTACTTTTAAAACTTCCCACAAAGAAAACCCCACTAATTTGAAATAATTTATGAATTCTTTCAAACAATTAAAAAGAAATTATTCCAATCACATATAAACCTTTTCAAAGAATAGGGAAAAAAATCCCCAACTCTTTTTTTTTCTTTTTTTTTTTGAGACGGAGTCTTGCTCTGTCACCCAGGCTGGAGTGCAGTGGTGCAATCTCCACTCACTGCAAGCTCCGCCGCCTCCCGGGTCCCAACTCATTTTTGAAAGCAGCCATAACAGTGTACAGTAAAAAATTATCACACAGCCACCTAATTTCCCAACACAATTCTATGAGGAAAAGACTTCCTTTCAATAGAGGGCAATGGACCATTTGGATATCCATATGAGGAAAAAATAAACAAATGTTGACCCCTATGTTACATATACAAAAATTAATTTGAGCTTGATAAGAAAGCTAAATGTGAAGGATAAAAACAATAAAATTACAGAAAGAAAAGAATGAAGACTATCTTCATAACTTTGAACAGGCAAAAACTTCTTAAAATACAAAGAGTTAATCATAAAAGAAAAGGTTGCTAACTTAAACTTCATTAAAATCAGAAACTTCTATTCATCAAAAAACACCATTAAGAAACTGCAAAGGCAAACCATAGACTGGGAGAAGATATCCATAATACATGTATCTTACAAAGGATTTGTATGTAAAATATTTAAAATACTCCAACAAATCAATAGAAGATATAATCAAATAAAAATCTGCAAAAGGTGCGAACATGCACTTCTCAACAAGGATATCTAAATGGTTAATAAGCATATGAAAAGGCTCTTATAAGTCATTAGGGACACTCGAATTGGACACCACTACACACATAAGTCACTAGGGACACTAAATAATACCACTACACACATATCAAAATGGCTGAATTTTAAAAACAATAACAATACCAAAAATTGGCAAGGATGCAGAGTAACTGAAAAGCTCCTACACTGCTAGTGGGAGTATAAATTGCAACAGTTACTTTTGAAAACCAGCAGTATCTATTAAAGCAAAACATATATGCATATGTACCTAAAGAAGTACATATGTGGCCAGGCATTGTGGCTCACGCCTATAATCCCAGCACTCTGGGAGGCCGAGGCCGGCAGACCACTTGAGGTCATAACTTCAAGACCAGCCTGGCCAACATGGTGAAACCCTGTTTCTACTAAAAATACAAAAAATTAGCCAGGCATTGTGATGGGTGCCTGTAGTCCCAGCTACTTGGGAGGCTGAGGCAGAAGAATCAACTGAACCTGGGAGGCAGAGGTTGCAGTGAGCCAAGATCGTACCACTGCACTCCAGGCTGGGTGACAGAATGAGACTCCATCTCAAAAAAAAAAAAAACCAAACAGAAGTACATATGTCTTCCAAAAGACATGTAAAATAATATTCACTGAAGCTTTACTCAAAAAAGTAAAAAACTAGAAATTTCATATGCCCATTAAGAGGAGACTAAATACAGAAGTTATGGTATATTCACTCAATGAAATACTACTAAGTGGTAAAAAATAAAATACTACTGACACAAAACATGGATCCATCTCACAGGCATAACATTAAGCAAAAGAAAACAGACACAGAAGTAAGTTTTAGGAACAGGCAAATTAATCTATGGTACCCAAAGTTAGCATGGGGGAAGAGAGCACAAGAAGTATGGACCGAGGAGAAGCATAAAGGGCCCTTCTGGGATTATGAAAATGTTCTACATTTTGACACGGAAACGTTGAATGTCTTGATCTAGGTGGCGGCTTATATGATGTCTACATCTAAAAATTCATGAAACTGTACACATAAAATACATATTTCATGTATATTTTACTTTAAAAAATGAAGTATAAAACATGAGACATTATCTTTTATGTACTGATGTGGAAAAAATCTCCAAAGATTATATTTAAATCTAAAAAGTTTATAATAATTAACACATTTATTTTTTAAGAAAACAAATACAGGCACAAAATAAAACTGTGTTTCTATTACATAAAAATATAGATAAAAGCACTGGATTTTTACTGGTTAAACCCCAGGGAGAAAGGAAATGAGAAAGAAAAGATTTGGAGGATCAAAGGTAAACTTTATTTATATTACCTGAAGTTTTTTACAACAAAAACTATAGTGTGTATTTCAAATTGTAAAATTAATATTCTAAATCAAGTCTTAAATGTCTTTAATCTCTTCAAGGGATACGGGAGAATGATCAAATTCAAACCAAAAACTACGTATAACTAAGACTGTATGTTTTAAATTCAATAAGAAAAGAAGTATATTTGTTTTAAACACTATTCCAAGCAGTAATGGTGAAAAAGACCATAATCATCTTTAGAAGGCATGAAATGGTCACGTGCATGATTTTCCAAAGATAGTAGGTCATAATGCCCACATACCACTCAGTGCTCCAACTGCTCCAAAATTTAAGGATTTTCCATCCATTATGCTGGCATCACACTCAATTTCACCTAACAGATTTAGATTAGATCCCATTCCTGCATTTGTAAAAGGAGAATCCTAAAAGACAAAAACAAAAATTAAAATATTAGTCTTAAAAAAAGTATTAATGCCAATTCTTCATGAAATTTTCTACAAACTAGAAGGTGAGAGAATACTTCCCAACCCATCGTATGATGCCAATACCACCCTGATGGGAAAACACGACAAAGATGTCAGCAGGAAAGTACAGATCAATATACTTTATAAATATTGACCCAAAAAAATGATCAAAGAAATACCAGCAAAACAAATCCAGCAAAATATAAAAGGGATTGTATACCACAAACAAGAGGAAAGAAAGATTGGTTTAATATCTGAAAATCAGTGTAATACCCTGTATTAATAAAATACAGGAAAAAAAAAACATGATTATATCAAAAACCAAAAACACGGAAAAAAGGCATCTGACAAAATCCAACACCCTTTCATGAGAAAAACAGAAAACTAGATAAGGGAACTTCTTAACTTGACAAAGAGGATCAATGAAAAGGCCAGGCCAGGAGCAGTGGCTCACGCCTGTAATCCCAACACTTTGGGAGGCCAAGGTGGGAGGATCACTTGAGCCTAGCTGTTCAATACCAGCCTGGGCAACACAGTGAGACACCATCTATACAAAAACACTTAAAACTTAGCCAGGTGTGGTGGTATGCATCTGTGGTCCCAGCTGCTTGGGAGGCTGAGGTTGGAGGATCCTTAAGCCTGGGAGATCAAGGCTCGAGTAAATCCTAACTACGTCAAAAAAAAAAAAAAAAAGTCCAGAGTTAACATTGTAATTAATGGTGAAAGACTGGATGCCTTCCCCTAAGATCAGGAACAAGACAAGGATATCCACTCTCAGTACCTAGTCACGAATATACTGTACAATCTAACCAGACAATTAGACAAAAAGAGAGAGAGAGAGAGAGAGAGAGAGAACGAACGAACAAACATCTAGATTGGAAAGGAATAAGTAAAACTGTTTCAAGATAACATGATCCTGTATACAGAAAATCCTAAAGACTCCACTAAAAAAAATTAGAATAAATAAGTTTAGTAAGGTTGCAGGATATAAGATTAATATGCAAAAATCAATTGGATTTTTATATATTAGCAATAAACAATCTGAAAATGAAATCAAGAAAATCTCACAATAACATCAAAAACAAAAAATACAAATACATTTTTTAAAAGAAGTATAAGACTTGTATGCTAAAAACTGTAAAACACATTGAAAAAATGTTTAATTCAATACCTAAACACGTGGAAAAACATTCTATGTACATGGACCAGAAGACTTACTGTTGTTACAATGCAATACTCCCCAAATCAATCTAATTCAAAATAATCCTTTATCAAATCCTAGCTACTTTTTTGGCAGAAACTGACAGGCTGATCCTAAAATTCATATGGAAATGCAAGAGACCCGGAATAACCAAAACAATGTTGAAAAGAACAGAACCAAAGGACTCACACTTCTAGGTTTTATAACTTTCTGCAAAAGTAAAGTAATCAAGACAGTGTAATATAGACAAATAGCTAAGGATAGATATATAAATTGATATAATAGAACTGAGAATCCAGAAATAATATACCCTTATACTTACAATCAACTCAACAAGGTTGCCACAACAATTCAATAAAGAATTTTTTTTTTTTTTGGTTTCTCTTTTTTTTTTTTTTTTTTGAGATGGAGTCTTGCTCCGTGGCCCAGGCTGGAGTGCAGTGGCGTGATCTCCGCTCACTGCAAGCTCCACCTCCCAGGTTCACACCATTCTCCTGCCTCAGCCTTTCGAGTAGCTGGGACTACAGGCACCCACCACCATACCCGGCTAATTTTTTGTATTTTTAGTAGAGACAGGGGTTTCACCATGTTAGCCAGGATGGTCTCGATCTCCTGACCTTGTGATCGACCCGCCTCGGCCTCCAAAAGTGCTGGGATTACAGGCATGAGCCACCGCGCCTGGCCAGAAGATATAGTCTTTTCAATAAATGGTACTGGGACAATTAGATATCTATATGTAAGAAAATGAAGTTGGACCCCTATCTTACACCATGTATGAAAGTTAACTCAAAGTGGACCAAAGGCCTATATGTAATAGCTAAAACTACGTAACTCTTCAAAGAAAATATAACAACGAATGTCCATAACCTTAGGTAACAAAATAGTTTTAGATTTGACACCAAAAACACAACCAACCAAAGAAAAACCTAGGTAAACAGGACTTCGTCAAAATGTAAAACTTTTATTTCAAAGGACACCATAAAGAAAATAGGGAAAAAAAACAAAATGGAAGAAAAAAATTGCAACCCATGTATCTAATAAGGAGTTTATATCCAGAATATATATATTTTTTAAAATTCTACAACTCTAAAATAAAAAGATGACACAATTTAAAAATGGGAAAAGAATATGAATTAACATTTCTCCAAATAAGATACATAAATCAACAGCAAGCACACGAAAAGATGTGCATGCCATTGCACTCCAGCCTGGGCAACAAAGTGAGACCCTGTCTCTAAAAAATAAATAGGTAAAAACCAATTCTAAAAACAGAAAAATGTGGCCAGGCATGGTAGCTCACACCTGTAATCCCAGCACTTTGGGAGGCCGAGGCAGGCAGATCACTTGAGGCCAGGAGTTCGAAACCAGCCTGGCCAACATGGTGAGACCCTGTCTCTAATAACAATACAAAAATTAGCTGGGCATGGTGGTGGGCACCTGTAATCCCAGCTATTCGGGAGGCTGAGGCTCAAGAATCGCTTGAACCCAGGAGGCAGAGGTTGCAGTGAGCCAAGATCATGCACCACTGCACTCCAGCCTGGGTGACACAGTGAAACTCCGTCTCAAAAAAAAGAAAAAGAAAAATGTTCAACATCTTTTGTCATCAGGAAAAGGCAAATCAACACCCACAACAAAATACTACTTCAAACCCACAAGGATGGCCACAATTGTACAGATAACAACACATGTTGGCAAGTATGTACGGACATGCAAGCAAGCAAAATAATATGGCCCACAACCAGAGGAAATATCAAATAATAACAACAAACGTAGAAATTACATCAACGATCAAACTAGCAAACAATTTTAATGTTAGCTAACAACGTTAATGTTAGCTAACAATTTTAAACTAGATTATATAAACACACTCTATACGTTCAGGTAGGTATATGAAAGTATTAGCAAAAGAAGGAAAGAAAAAAAAACTATAAAAATTTTTGACCAGGCACGGCAGCTCACACCTGTAATCCCAGCACTTTGGGAGGCCAAGGCAGGAGGATCACAACGTCAGGCATTCGAGACTAGCCTGGTAAACATGGTGAAATCCCATCTCTACTAAAAATACAAAAGTTAGCTGGGTGTGGTGGTGCTCACCTGTAATCCCAGCTACTCAGGAGGCTGAGGCAGGAGAATGACTTGAACCCGGGAGGTGGAGGTTGCAGTGAGCTGAGATCATGCCACTGCACTCCAGCCTGGGTGACAGAGCGAGACGCCGTCTCAAAAAAAAAAAAAAAAAAAAAAAAAAGATTAAAATTTTTAGAGATGAAACAAACAATAATTTAAGGTAAAGGCATTTGAAAATGGTTAACAGTAAATTTGGCACTGCAGAAGAAAATAGCAATAAACATAATAATATAGCAATAGAAATTATCCAAATTAAATGACAAAGTGAAAAAAGGAAAAAGAAGAAAAAGGAGGAGGAGAAGAAAGGAAAAAAACAGTACTGGAGAAGAATGGGAAATATCGAATGATCCAACATGCATGTAACTGGAGTCCCAAATGAAAGTAGAAAAGTGGATGAACAGTAAAAATATTAGCCAAAAATTATCCAAACTTAATAAACACTATAAACATACAAATCCAAGAAGCTCAACAATCCCCAAATAAAAGAAATATGAATAAAAATACATCAGAGTACATCATAATCAAAATGCTGAAAACCAGCAATAAAATCTTAACAGCAACAAGAGCAAAAAGACACATGCGAAAATGAACAAAAATATTAAAGCAGATTTCTGGTCAGAAACAATGCAAGACAGAAGACAATGGAGTAATCTCTTTAAAGAACTAAGAGAGGAAACAAACTAAAAACTGAGAAAACTACAAAATGTCTTCATAAAGGCAAAATAAAGACTTCTTCAGGCACACAAAAATTGGGATAATTTTTCACCAGCAAACCTACACTATAAGTAATGTTAAAGGATATTCTACAGATCAAACAAAAAAGATACCACATGTAAATCTGGGATATGCAAAAGAATGAAAATGATTAATACTCTAAATAAGTAGGAAGATATAAATAACTTTTATCTCATTTTCAAAGTGCTTCAAATGATAATTGTTTAAAGCAAAAATAGTAACAGTGTACCATGGGGTTTATAACATATACAGGTGCAAACTATAGGGCACAAGTAGCACAAAGATTGTGAGGAATGAATGGAAGTGTATTGTTACAAGCTTCTGACATTACACATGAAGGTCTATAATATTAATATAATTTGAAAGTAGATTGTGATAATCCAAAAGTGTATTTTGCAAATGGTAGGGCAACTACTAAAAAATAAAAGAAGTGTAGAGCTAATAGAATAAAAGTGGAGGAAAAAATGGTTCATTTTTTTAAAATCCTCAAAAGATAGTATAAGAAGAAGAAATAAGAACAAAGTAGAGATGAAAGGAATAGAAAATAACAAGATGATCACTTTATATGCAGCCGTATCAACAATTACATTAAATTCAGCTGGGCACAATGGCTCACACCTGTAATCCCAGCACTTCAGGAGGACAAGGCAGGGGGATCACGAGGTCAGGAGTTCAAGACCAGCCTGGCCAACATGGTGAAACCTCGTCTCTACTAAAAATACAAAAATTAGCTGGGCATGGTGGTGGGCACCTGTAATCCCAGCTACTCTGGAGGCTGAGGCAGGAGAATCACTTGAAACCAGAAGGCAGAGGTTACAGTGAGCCGACATAGCACCACTGCACTCCAGCTTGGTCAATGAAAGCAAAACTCTGTCTCAAAAAAAAAAAAAAAATTACA